AGAATGGAAGATTTTATCCATGCTTTTGAAGAAAAATCAGCTACCATCAGCAAATAGAACAAATAAAGCAAAGGTAGAAAATCCTGACATTATGGTTCTATAAAGTAGCATTTTCTAGCTATGTTGGGGCTGCAGCTTCTGAAATTACAAGCCTAAAGCTAAAAACTCTGGGAATTATAGCCTACCATATCTAAGCAGTACCAAGTTGGGAATGTTCTTCTATATTATAAGCATGATCCTACAAAAAGAAATATTTTGATATGCCATTTTTGTTGTCTTATGAAAAGAGATTTAGTGTCATGTTGAACTTTGCATTTGAAATCACTAGGGTTTAAAGTGCTCAACTTTGGATAAGTTATATCTGTTTTCTTAAGGATTAACTACTCTTGTGTTATGTGTACATGGAACCAAAGGAAACAATCATGTACTGGTCCTAAATCTGCTAATTAACCAATTAACTTTCTAATCCGAATATGCTCAAATGATTTTATGTGCAGTCAAAATAACAGGTGTAACTGGGGAAGATACATGGATTTTCATAAACATTGAGTGTGAACATCTGCTTCACTGAAAAATTTATATCATTTTTGAAGGAAATAAAGTATAAATCACCTGATAACTGTCAGAAATGTCCTCAAAGTATTGTCTAGGCATGTTCCAAACTAAAGTTAATGGGACTTGCATCTGGACACACTTCTAAAAATTAAGGGATGTGATTGTTCTGAACATTAACTACTTTAATGTTTTGTACAATTTCAGTTGCGGCTAATCATAAATTTGCAGATCACATATAGATTTTCTAAAGGGATTACAATGCATGGAGTAATATTTTTCTGGTTCATATACTTGCAATTCATTTAAAGACATATTTTTCTAAGATGCCAGATGTGATGTTAATTTCCCCATACAGTATAAAGACATTCTGATTTAAACATTAGGTGAAAACAGCAAGTGTATGCTGTAGATTATGCTAGATATTTGAAAGACGTTTGCCAGGCTACTTTCCTTCATAGGACAATCCACAAGAATGTTAATACTTCCTAGTGATAATTGTGCAATCAGGATGGGGGTAGAAAATGATAAGAGAAACAACAATAATAAAAAACAAATAAGCAACATACCCATACATTTAATGGAATGTGGAAATGGTCTTGGGCAAAGAGATGCTGCATAGAGATCATTCAGATAAGAATGCCACGGCTATAAAATGGGTTGAGCAAGAGTGCCAGGAGCAAGAACTTGGGCTTTAAACGTCATGGCGGAGAATTGTAAATTCAGACTTCTAAGATTCTGCTAATGTAGCTTTACAATGAATTAGAAGAAGCTTATCTGTCCTGTCTGATCTACCTGATAAGACTGACAGTTTATTTCTATAGTCACTGTTTGAGCTACAGTTGTTGTTGCACTGGAACTTACTGTTCTGGAATGAAAATAACTGATAAAAGGACTGGCACTGCCTCCACATACTAGATTTCAGCCAGTTAATTTGTTGTAGTTGTCTTTAACAAACGACTTCATTGTTTCTTTAAAAATATAACTTTTATATCGGTGATGGAAATCCTAGTCAACCTAATGTTTACGGAAGTAGTGAGTCAAACTCGAATCAACACCTTCGGTTTCTGTAACTTTCTTGTTTCTAAAAGGTAAGGACTAAGTTAAAGTGTTACCTTTTAGAAATCAACCTCGTAAGATTAAGGTACCTTCTTAGTCACAATCGAGTCACCACGTTCATCGGGTACAGTAAGGAAGTGAATTTTGACCTCTTGATTTGTTAAAAATTAGTCTCCAGTAGCCCAACTTCATGGCTGCTAGCCTCATTTCCAATTTATATGTTATAATGCACCAAGAAATACTCAGGGGAATGTACACATTAGCTTTATTAATTGAAGTTTAGTATTGATTCAGAATCAGATTCAGAAGAATCAGGAGAAGATCCAGTTGTTAAGTTTATCAGAAAATGAGTCTTTTGAGTTTTCTGAACATAAAAAAATGTACAGGGTTGTTGTTATGATAAAAATAGGACAAAGAACAAGTATTAAGTATGATGGTTACTTTCATTTATTTATAAAAAAATTAAGGGATTAAAACCTAAAAATAGTTATAAGCAATATATTGGTTAAACTAGTTTGACAAGGGAATCGAATGTACAGATCATTGTAGTAATATTATAGTAATGTTATATATTTTAGCCAAGAAAGCATTAACATGGGCAATTTTGCAAACCGTTTTTATTATTTAGCCAAGTAGAAAGATGTATTTCATAATTAAAATGTGATATATCACAATTTTTTGTAATTTGTAATTACAAAAAAATTACAAACCAGTTACAAAAATTTGTTATCTAGTAATTAAACATCTGCAAGCAAACAAATAAGTTTAGAAAAATGCATGACAAATATTTTTTGGAGCAAATAATTAATTTGTTTGGTTCTAGGTCAACTTTAAACACAACATATAATTTAAATGTCATACCTACAAGGCACAAAAAATAGTTCAGTATTGGTAGAAGGAGACCATTTCAGGGACCTGATAGGAATCTGAATATTTATCATGATTCAGATGCTAGATGTCAGATATCTTGGATTATTACATTAATTTAGAACCTAAGTCTAAATTACTTCTATTAATGGTGCTTGCTGATGCATAAAGAACATGTTCAAAAAGGACATATGCTCTTTTTAATATCATCATGTTTCTTGGCAGACATAGAATATCAAAAAATATTTAATATCTGCTTTTACTGTAGGCTTATATGTGGCATGGCAATCCTTATGTTTTCCATTGTATTTTATTACTAAACAAATCCGTGAATTTGTGTCAGTGAAAATGCTACTACATACATATTATGTTTACCAAATAATATTTCCTTTTATTTGTTAATAGCCTCATTGGATTTTATTATTGCTTGCACCTGTAGAGGTGATTCCCCCATTTCCCCCGTACATTCTGTTTTCATGCTCAGCTTCCTCACTTTGAGTCCTATTTAAGTTTCTCTACTGCAAAAAAGATTTATTTGGACAATATGCAAGTATTCATTCAGTGTACACCAAAGCATGCACATCTCTTTCCTGAAGTTCAAGCAATAATGCCTGATTGTGACTACTTTTTCTTGGCTATTTTAAAAAAATATAAACTTTAACAAATATGCGTTAAAAATACAGGCAAGTTGTTTAGTGACCAAAGTTACAACAGCACTTAAAAGCATCTCCATGGTCACATGTCATTTGTCCCGGGGTCACGTGATCACCGTTTGCAACCTTCTGACAAGCAAAGTCAATGGGGAAGCCAAATTCATTTAACAACTGTGTTACTAACTGAATAACTGCAGCGATTCGCTTAACTAATGTGGCAAGTAAAGTTGTGAAATGGGCAAAACTCACTTATCCAATGTCTCATTTAGCAACATAAATTTTGGGCTCCATTGTGATCATAAGTCAAGGCCTACCTGTAAAGAGATCAAAATAGACCCTGGTTCTTGATTAATGCAACTGGGAAAGACCAGCATGACAGACTTATGTTCTATTATGTTTTTGAAGCTTTGCTTTTTGAGAGACTTATGCATCCTTGTGGCTGAGGGTAAAGTGGCAAGATGATAAAAATCTGAGTCTCAGATGAGGCGCTACTCCCCTGTTTCATTCTTAACTGCAGGCAACATGTTAAGACTGCTAGCAATATTAGAATATACCAAGATAAATCTATGTTTTGACATGTAACAGCTCAGAATCTTGGTAACTGCTTATTGCAGGCAGCATAGTTTAAGGCATTTTGCATAACATTTGCCTTCTAGAAACAAATAGGCATATAATTACTCTGTAATCGTATAGTAATTAATGTCTACCATGCCTATATTGCATAATTATATGCCCTGCAAATTATATGGAAATTATACTTGGATTTAGTTTGCATTTCCTCACACCCTGTTGTAGACAAAATAAACTTGTGATTTAATGTATAATTATGACTGTGGTGATGTTAAAATCTACTAGGATGCTACAACTATCTTTTGCCAATTAAAGGTTTGGGGGTTTTTTTTGGCTGAGATTTAGAGATTGGTCCTCAAAAAAACTGTGACTGAATCAAATAATTCTTGAACTAGGTTCACATCTAGGCTTGTAGTATGAAGTTATTCATGAACTCAGCATGCCTTCTAATTCTGAACAGGAAATCCTAATGTGAACGAAGTCATATAAATAGCCTATTTAATTTGGCTTCAAACATTTTGGGGCATGTTTAGGTAGGCAGTTCTGAGCCAAGATATATTTCTATGTTCTGTGGCACCCTTAATCTACATTCCAAGTTAATCTTTGTGGCTTGAGCATCAAAACTATGATTGCAGTTTCCCCAAACTGCGAGATGGGTGGTATATGAATTTAAAAGCACTAGGCATTTATATATTTTCTCTCAGAGGCTACTTTCTGCCTTAGATTTTCTGCAATAATCATGAATTTCCCAACTTAAGTTTCAACTTGCTGCAATAATCTTTTCCTCTCCTTTTTTCTTTTTGTAAATGCAGCGGAGCCTGTCATTTCGAAAGGGAACAACTGTCTGGATGCTGCAAAAGCCTGTAACCTGAATGATACCTGCAAGAAATATCGATCGGCGTACATAACGCCCTGTACCTACAGCGTGTCTAATGAAATCTGCAATAAGCGGAAGTGTCACAAGGCCCTAAGGCAGTTTTTTGACAAAGTTCCCCCCAAGCATAGTTATGGAATGCTCTTCTGTTCCTGCCGAGATACTGCATGTACAGAAAGAAGACGACAGACTATTGTTCCTGCATGTTCTTATGAGGACAGGGAGAAACCAAACTGCCTGAATTTACAAGATACTTGCAAGACGAATTACATCTGCAGGTAAGATAACACATGACACTTGGGTGATTAATGAGGTGGTGCAAAGAACTGCTGAAATTGCCCGAGCTAGGGAACAGTATTTTCATCAGGGAACAGGGCAATCAGGAAAGAAAACTTGTAATCTGTAACAGAATAATAAAACAGCTAGTTGCATATCACTGAAATATCTATTATCCCTGGAAACTGTGCATGTGTTTGTATACACACCCATATGTACAGTACCTATAGCAAGAAAGAAAATGAAGCAGTCTATCCCTTCTCAATAATTCTACCATTCTCGCTGTTCTTGGCAGCTGAATTAACAATTTTTAATTAAGAAATATTTGATAAAATGAAAAAATAATAATGTAGTAGCTTGTATAAGTGTAATTAGTTTCCCTAAACAAATTGTGATTGGTTCATAGTTTGGTGTGGCTTCTGATATTTAAAGCAAGAAGAGGGAAGGTATTGAATAGACAGAAATGGTAAAAAAGACAATTTCCAAGAGATGATACACATGACTCATTATCAGTGAAGCAAACTTTTTTTAAAAAAACATCAAGGAAATTTTGGTATTGTAGCAGACTGGTGAAATACTATTTAAAAACAACAACAACAAGCGATGGGATCAGTCCAATTATAGATCATCCAATAATATACTCACAATCTTCTTTAAAACCCAGACTGGAACTGTAAATGCAAAATTCCATTTTCTATTTAATTTTTATTTTGCAGTATGCAGGCTTTTTATTTATTTAAGACTACTCAAGTTTGGATGTTTCATCAAAACATCAACAAGTTAGAACATCAACAAGTATGACATCAGTTTTGTTTGTTTGTTTAAAAAAAACTACTTTGGGAACATACCAACTTCAATTACATAGAATCAAGTTGAAGCATTAAATAAATATGATAAATAAATAAACTTTAGTGAATGTTTTTTGGTCTTTCTTCTAATAAAGAGGCCATTTCCTCATTAGTGATTTATACTGCCAAGCACTCACCATTAATTCAGTATAATCAAAAAAGGTCATAACACAACTATAGTCCTATTATGATGTAAAGACTTTTTTAAATCACTGGTGAGATAATGGCCATTATCCCTGCTTTTCACACATTTATTATTTAAATCATTTGAAGAGTCTGGGTTTCTTTTATGTATAGTTATTCTGATTAGTACAGCTCTGAAATAATATTTCCAACTATATGCTTCCTAACTGTGTAGCTATTTTCATGAAACTGACAACTAGAATACTGGTACATTCTCTGATTGTTGAAAAATAGAAAATCAAATGGTTAACCAAGATTGCCTCCTCTCTGAAACTGCAGCATATATTTTTTTAAGTGCCATCATTACTCCACCTGCTATCTTCATTCGTTTAGGCATCCAACTTTCTAAATGCTATTTCATTTTCTCACTTTCCCTCGTCTTTCTTGACTTTGCATTCTCATCATTGCACTTTCCAGCTCCTTGGTCAAAAAAAAAATGTTATTGCTATTTTTTGAAAGCAGCAGGAATATGAAAATGGATTTTTGTGCAGATTACCTATTACAGTTCTCTTTCCATTGTAACTTCTGCTTGTAGGTTTTACAAGCAATAAAACAGTCTGGCTGTTCAGGTAATTGTTTCACAGCTAGGTCACCTTTGTTTTTTCATCACTTGTTTGCTGTAATATTAAATAATGATTTGCATGTGCAAAACAGGTTATATCAGACGGCTGATTACTGGAATTGTAATGCTGACTTATATTTTGCAGTGAGACGCTTTTGGACATAGACTGTTAAGTTCTACTCTTAATGGTTAGAGAATTAGCAAATCAAAGTGTTTTTTTTTTACTATGTCTTGTTTGTTATTTTTGTGCCTTTGAGTGCCTTTGTTGAATTTTGGCAATTACTGTGTTTGTTATTCTCTAATTTTATTGGTAAATTGGATTATTCTGTCTGATGAATGGTTTGAAACCATTAGAATCATTACTTTTTCCTGTCCTTTCCATTTTTATTTCCTGCTTTCTATAATAATCAAAATTAAACCTGTACATCAAGATACTTTCCAAAAACAGTATTTTGCAATGAAGCTAAGTACCTTGTAGTGCCATAGTTGAGTTTTTCAGTGTCCCTGGAGCCGAAACACATGTGAAAACGCTTTGCTAACTTGAATATTGGCTATATTAGAAATATGGAGAGTATTAGTTTTCAGAAATATGGAAAAAATGATATGTGAATATACTGTAGAGGCAACATTATTTTGTTTATGCACTGCACAGCTCTTAGCCTATAGGTCATTTTCTCAGCTTATGCCATTTCCTATCTATCTACTCTGATATGAAGAGCTTCAGTGCAGTGTTTATTTTTAATCATATTTCATTATTTTATTGATAGGAATATAATATCACCAATTTTCAATCATATTATGTCTTCTCTTATTTTGAAAAACTGATAATCAGTGCTGCTTATTGACACTGGAAACAATCTTGGCCTTATAAGCAGAGAAAATTCCATCAGTCTCGTTTAATGACGCAGAGACAATTTATTATGTGGTTTCTAAAAGCTTTTCCAGAACGCTGATGACTAGGGGAAAAAAATCAAGGTAGACAATTTAGCAAGCCTGTGAACATTGCTTGCCCATTTCAACATCGCATGAATATAAATTTGCTGGATTTACTCCACTGAATATACTACATTTGAAACTGGAACTAGCTGGACTTGAATATAAAGATGGGTTCTTTTCCTTGTCATTTTGAAACACTCACAAACACACTCAGCTTAAAAGCATTATACAGGTAGTTCTCGACTTACAACAGTTCATTTAGTAACTGTTCAAAGTTACAACAGCACTGAAAAAACTGACTTATGACCGTTTTTCACACTTATGACTGTTGCAGCATCCTCGTGGTCACAATGATCAAAATTCGGATGCTTGGCAATTAGTTCATATTTATGATAGTGATCCCCTTTTCTGACCATCTGACAGGCAAAGTCAATGGGGAAGACAGATTCACATAATAACCAGGTTACTAATTTAACAACTGCAATGATTCATTTAACAACTATGGCAAGAAAAGTTGTAAAATGGGGGAAAATTGACTTAGCGACATAGGTTTTGGGCTCAATTGTAGTCGTAAGCTGAGGACTTATTTGTATTTTCTCCTGGTGCTTTTTTTTTTTTTTTAACCAAAATCCTCTTTGACATTCTTTTGGTTTACATTTATCTTTTATTCAATGCTCTAGGTTGAAAGCACACATGACATGAAATTTTCACATGCATGACCTGTTACAATAAATGAGAGCAGTGTACAGTTGCCTTATAGGAGAGATGGGTGGCATAAAAAATTAATAAATAAATTAAATAAATAAAATCACAAAAGATTGGTGATTTTACATATTACTTTTGGTTTTTTTAGAAGAAATGTCAGGAAAAAAGAAAACTGGAAAGAAAGAAAGGCCACCAATCAGGTGAGACCTGATTGGATTCTCCCTATTAGTCGTGCATGTAGGAAATCCTCATTTTATGTATGTTTCATTAATGATAGGAAATATGATGATTTACTATCTCACTTTATATATTGGGGGTTTTGTTTGGAATATAATGGGAGGAGGCTTAGAACAAGTTATGAAAAGTTTCATTACTTGCATCAGATAAAGAGACTTTTAAGATAATAGGCTTTGTGTTAATAGCCAGATCCCCTTTATAGGCCCGCTTGTTTAGATAATTCTTTTTGATTCTTTAATTTATTATTTAAATACTATTGCCTTTGCTTTTCAGCCACAAGCTACTAACAAATAAATATGTAAATGTAAAAGACATGACAAATAAGGAGAAGGAAGCAAAAAGGAAAGAAACAAATAAACTTGCACTGATCTGTTAGCTAGTTGGGTAATGAAGCAAAAAACAAAACTCAGAGAACATGAAGGACTCCACAGAATATTCAGTGTAATGGCTTCTCGCAATGATAATTGATGGCGAGAAGAGCTTGATGCTTTTCAGCATAACTTTTGGTGACCTTGTTTTTCTTCATTTGCTCTGCTCAAATTTATCCATATTCATTAACTACCTTTGCTGCCTTTTCCCTCCTCCTCAGAAAGGTTGGGAAAATGATTCCAGTGTCCCAGTGCTGTGATCTAAAAATGCTAAGTCTGTTAAGACATTGCAGGGGCTAAATGAAAATAATTATATCCAATGGCCTCTAGGCACTTCTTTTGGACATTGAGAGTTGTGTTTAATTTTGTTTTCTAATTGAAGGAAATAAATCAACTGAAGAGCATGTATGGATTGAAGACCCTAGGGGGTGGAAATCCTTCCTAGTAATAGACATATCCACGAAGTGTATAATTTTGTTATTTATCTTGTTAAATGTGAACCTTATATATTTCAGGTAACGACTTTAGGGTCTCAAGAAGGTGTCCGAGAGAGAGAGACACGAAGGTCACAGGTAATTCTCTTTTACCTGATTTTTACGACTGTACGTTTGAGTCTCCTAGCTTATCTTCCTTTAGCCTTTCACTGACACTTTTTCCTTTGAGATCATACAGACACACACTGTAAAAGACTATGTTTTAAATATGTGAGTCACACAGGAATTACTGCCAGAACGAAAAGCATGGTAGTTGAATAGTCCTTACGTTCTGTTATTCCTTTGTCATAATATCCCAAATAAATATTGGTATCTACCAATGAGAACTGGAAGCATGATCTCGCTCCCCAAAAATGATATATTCTTTGAAATATAGCGCCAATTAGCTGAAATTTTACAATCGTTGAGTAAAAAATACAAGAAATTTAGTAATCTAAATGACATTTCTTTTTAGTTTTTCATCAGTTTTGCTCTTAATATTTAAAAATGTTAAACTATATAATAGTCCTGGATATTCCATTTGCTTACATTCTCTTGTTTGGCTTAGCTTATTGCATTTAGGAATGCCCCTTATGATTGATTATATGTGAATCTACTCTGTGTGCTGGGACAAAGTAGTGCCACAGTTATACTTGATTCCTCTTGTTGATTTCTTTATTTCACTTTGAG